GTAAATTTGACTGAGGGAGGTATAAGAGAACACCAAATACCCCCCATAGTAAATATAGCTCAAGTTAGTAAGGTAATCGTATGTGCAGGAGGAGCTATAGAAATTAGAGCAGGGCAGGAACCACAGCAACCGTTGCTTATGTTACAAAACGACAACAGGACCAGAGCAGATTTAGCCTTATGGACAAGGAATGGACAGTCCATTCCCAGTGATGTCAGTCAACCGTCCGGGATGTTTGTCACCTCCAAGAGTCAGTTAGTTATACCTGAAGTTACTAGTGCATGTGCAGGACACTATAAACCTGAATGGCTGAAAGAAACTATAGAGATACGAGTTGTATATTGCACGCACAGAACAGTAGACCCTTATCTAACCCCAGCTGATAAATCCTCAAGTAAGACTCTGAATATCACTATAATCAAAGTTAGAACAGGACATAAGGTTACTTTGAAGCCACATAGAAATTGTGATCTAAGATGTACCCAGGGAAGTAAGACACAGCAAATAAAGAACACAAACTGGACTAAAAATGGGAAGAAGCTCACAGGATGGACAGTAGATAAGGCACAGAATAGCATAAGTAAAAACGAAGTATGGACATCAGACACAGGACTTTATTACACAGGACTCATTTATTATTTCTTATGTTACTTTTAAGTTCTTCACAGGTTGCTATTGAAACTCCTAAGACAGTGATATTACTCTCAGAATAACAGTTTGTACAGGCTTATGTTTTTTTGCAGGATTTGTCCTGATAGGACAAAAGGGGGGAATGTGGATGCCAGCATAGCAGATACTGGTATGTCATTATGTTAAAAGGTCACTTCACACTGAAATTGATGTTTTTGTTTTTCTTAAAAAGCCACAATGTGAAACTTGTAAATGTAATGGTCCTGGGACCTGGAATCACTTTTTGCACTGCTCAACAAGCTAACCCTGCACAGTCTCACAGAAGAGTGATTGAGGACAGCGTTAACCAACTTACCGGTAAAGAAAGTGGATATAGCACACTGCAATGGAAGGATTACAGCCTCCGCCAACTCTTCAACTGACCGGTAACATAGCTGAAAATTGGAGAAAATTCAGACAACGTTTTGACCTATATCTGGCTGCAACCGGTGCCGACGAGAAAAGTGACAAAATGAAACCATGTTCCTGCACGTGGTTGGTGAGGAAGCACTGGAGGTTTACAGCAACTTTACGTTTGACACTGAAGAAGACAAAATGAAGCTACAGAAAATAATGGACAAGTTTGAAGGTTACTGCATACCCAAGAGAAATGTAACCTTTGAAAGGCACAAATTTTTCACATGTGTACTAAAACTGGGAGACACAATTGATCAGTATGTGACAGAGTTAAGAAACAGAAGTAAAACATGTGAATTTGGAGAACTGACAGACTCGTTAATAAAAGACAGACTCGTGTGTGGTATCCCAGACAACAGTTTAAGAGAGAGGCTATTAAGAGAACAAAATCTGGATTTGGAAAAAGCTGTAATGTTGTGCAGAGCGGTAGATAAGGACTGAAATCCTGTTGTGCCCGCAAGGTCCTCCTGCTCAAGAAAGCACATCTACAGGTCCGTTTGAAGTTTGCCACTGAACATCTGACTGATTCAGAGGAAGACTGGGTGAAAGTGTTGTGGTCAGATG